TAGTTTCCCCCGGGATTATATTCTTGTGCTGTGTACATGGCTTATCTCTTCCCCAGGAATACCTCATCATCTCCATGAATATTGTTCACCAAAGTAACGTAAAAGATTCCTTTTACGTTTAACTAGTCTCTCCGCATCTTCTCTCTCGAGGATTGCATGGTAACAAGATTTTTCTAAGACGTTATTGAAGTTATTGTAATACTCTACAATGTCCTGACTTGCCCTAAGCTGCGTGTAATCTCCGCGAAAAAGTAAAGTACTTACCTTAATGCTGTTTGGTTCGAAGTAATAGGTGCTTACATTTATTCTGATCATTTTTTCACTCGAAAACAGCATTTAATGAGAAAAGTTGGTACAACATATGTCCGTTAATCAATATATTTTCTATCATTTCGTACAACTTTTCCCCATCTTCCTGTCAACATGGCGAAACCGTCTCGAAAGAACGATATTCATTTGGCAGCAATCCAATCATCGATCCATTTTCACACTTCTTCAGCATTTCGAAACCCCGTGCCAGTCAAGCTATGATGGATCGATCTGAACAAGTGGTAATCAGAAGGCGCTATGTCTTTTGGATATGATGGGTGCGGCAGAGCTTCCCACTCGAACGGCAACAGTGTACACTTGACAACATGACAACTCTTGTAACGTGTGGCCGAGCGATGTCATGCAAGACGATGAATTCGCATCTATTAGCCACTATTCCTGATCATTTTTCGCAACAATACATGGTTCAATTTGTTGTCAGCAGACAGCTGCGGTAACGGCTTCATTCCAGATATTTTATTTTATGTAGAGAAAGGTCAAAATCATTAAATTTAGCCATTGTGTAGGTTGATACTTTGTATTTTACCAATAGATGGAACAAATGATAAACATATAATATTTTCATTGTAATAATTATATGCATCACTGTAAAATGATGGCACGCTCGTTTTGTTTTTTCCCATAATGCACATAACACCCAAGAGGAAGCTTCAGAGACCCTCTAAAGAGTATATATTTTTTAATGGTTGATTTAACCATGTCTGTTCGTCTATGTGGTGTTTGTTGTCGGCACTCTCCTGGACGCAAAAATTAAAATATCGACTTCAAATTTGGTGGAAACATTGAAAATGGGTCAAATTAGTCAGCGCAGAAGCCCGCAGTGGAGCACAAACTGCACGCAACTCCGTTTTTCTTAACAAAAATTTGTGGATATATGCCGGCCACTCAAAAATTGTACAATTTAGAAGTCTGACATTTTCCACATTTACTTTACGAAATTGAAAATATCTGCCACGCCCACAGAAAAATATAAGTGATTAAATTTTTTTTCCACTTTTTTGAGGTGTTCTGCTTATTTTTTATAAAGCAAAGTAGTGTCAGGCAAAAGACTAAGGCAAAAGACTATTTTGTACACTCCTTAAATGAAGATATATTATCCGCCTAAAAGTGTGTTAATTATCAAATGGATATGGTACACATCGCGCTTACTTTTTTCTTAATAATACTATCGATATAGGTATCAAATAAAAGAACTTGAAGAGTAGAATGCGAAAAACATTTTGCTGGGCAGGCGAGATTCGCCCCCCCCCCCCCCCGCCGAATATATTTTTCTTACTTGGTTATTATTGTATTTGTTTATGAGGTCTAAGAGGTTAGACATTGATGCAAATATTCACAGGTCGGAAGTATCAAACAGGGTCAGGCTAATATATAATGTACTATTTTTTTCACTGCAAAAAAAAGAAAAAACGTTTACACAGAGAGAAAATAACGCCTTTACAATATGACAATGTCATGTGTAACCGTCTGTTACGGCAAAAACAGACAGCAAATCCTTAAATTCATCAGAGATCCCAAAAATGAATCGACGGTTTTATTAGACAACAAGTAAGCACGCTATAGTCGGGAAAGACGTACAATTAGATGCCCTACACCATTTCGTTTACTACACTGAATTTACTTCCTGAAACTTTTATAATTTTTCATTTTCTGTCGTAAAAAACGGTAAATTAGACTCTCGCCCCACATGTGGTTCGAGGTCTATACCATTGCTTTTTTTGTTAAATTTTTACCATGCCATAAAATATTAATTTTAAGCCTTTTTCTAAAGAGCTTTTTGTGGGGTCCAAGACCCATTCGGTTCAAATTTGGTTCATTTGATTTTTATGTCAAATTACTATCATGAACAAATTTTAATCGAAAAACATTAACAACAATTAAGCTTTTTTGACGTGTAAGGGTCTATATTTCCTGAGAATCTTTTATATGCGACATTATTCAGAAAATAGACCTACCTGGTCCAAATTCGGTAAGATTGATTTCTTCCCCAATTTACTACTATGAACCAATTTTTATCATGAAATATTAAAAATTACACTTTCTTACCATAAAACATTCAGTTTTCGTAGAAACGGTTATAAGAGAAGGGGTTCAAAAAATTACCCCATGTTTCATATCAATTGAGAATGTCGAAATATTATCGTTGAGCGACTCTTGTCGAAAAATTCTGAAAATTTCACTTGTTTTCCGTATTATGACTTTGAAAAATAAGGAATTGTACGGGGAGTGGTCAAAGAAGTAGATCGATCCGAACCATTTTCAAAAGCGTTTAACCTTGGATCAAAGCAAGTCAGTATATTAAATCTCATCAAAATATCTTAGAAATTACGACCTGGAGGTGTACGTGGATAGACATCGGACGCGTAAACGGACAGACAAGCTTAGATTAATTCAGGAAAGGATTCTGAATAGATCGATATAATAGAAGGCGTTACGCCCTTCTGCATGTTCCATAAGTTCGCACAAACTTACTATAACCTGTACCACAAATGGTGTAGGGTATAAAAAGGTAAAAGCTATTTTGTGTTCAATTCATAGCTCACAATTTCTGAGATATATTGATGAAGCTTCTTACATTAATGTGATATTTGACTCAAGAACCCACCTTTCCAAAGGTCATCATATGAATAACTACATCAAATGAACTGATGTGCGTGTATTTAATGGACCGTGGACCACTATAGTGTTTTTATTTGTTATTTTATCTTAAAATCGTAGTGGTAAATTCCGTATATGTTATAAAGTCTCTAGTGAGCTCAAAATGAATGAATATAAAATTACGAGATCCGCCTTTCGGTAAGTGCTGTGAAAATAACAGTATAATTTCGAAAAGTTAATTTTAAAAGGGACCTTGAAATTGAAAGGACTGACAGTTTATTAGGTGATATTTTATTCTGTTAAAATTAATAAAATAAGTCATTCGTATAGAACTCTTGGCAATCTTTTTTGTTTTCAATTAAATAATTCAGGTTAGAAAAAAAACAAGTAAGGAAGTTACATTCGGCAGTGGCCGAATCTCGCATACCCACCACATAAGCGCTGGACAACTTAAGATTTTTATGTCCAAGAAATCGGTTTTTTTTAAACGCCGCAAGACTTTATGTGTTAAACGTCCACCATATTTAAATTATAACTATTAACGCCTTCCACTCTCGAATTACTTCCATTGGATACCTAAGTCGAAGGTGCTATTAAGAAAACAGTTATCGACTAAATTGTGACGGCTACCACAATTAATGTAGAATTAACACACTTGGCTTGTCGCGTTCTACTTTCCAAGTCCTTTTGTGTGATACCCAAGTCAATGATATTGTAACGAAAAATTAGTTCATTACGCCGTGACGTCCAAGCACTTTTATTTGATACCTATATCGCTGTTATTATTTAGGAAAAGGTTTGTGCCCCTCTGCGGGCTTCTCCTCTGACCAATTTGGCCGATGTTTAACACCAACCTGCGCGCAAAAACTTGGCCCATTTTCAATGTTTCCACCAAATTATCGTATTTGCGACTAGGAGATTGCCAACAACAAACACCACACAGACGAACGGTAATGGCCTAATCAATTCAGAATTTTACTCTGATCAAAAATGTATACACAGTATAGGGTTTCGGAAGTTTTTTTTTTGGGACGTTACATGCATTATGAAATAAAACAAAGTGAATACATCCCCCCATGCCTAGCGTGGTGGGTATAAAAAAAAGGAAAGGAAGCAAGCTTTAACAGTACAGCTTGCTCGTGGCTTGCGTTTAAAATTTTAAATTTTTTTGTAAATATTGTAAAAATTTGCGTGAACAAGTTCGTGTAGATAATTGATGTAAATTTAAAAATTTCTAGCGACCAATTATCCTTTCAAGTTTTACATTTTGATTGAGAGACATTGACCATGAAATGTAAAAATTTCTATAAATTATAAATGCACGTGCAACAGATAGTATTTATCAATGCACGAAAACGATTTTAGGTGAAGAGAGTCGCCCGCGTATGTACCTATAATAGTGTCGTCCTATTAGTGAATGTAACTTTTCTCTGTTTACTCAAAATTTTTTTTGTTTTTTGTTTAGGGAAAATTAAGCTTTTATTTTATGCTTAATATAAAGTAATTAAGTATGGGGGAGAATGGCATATTTCATTTGATTATGTGTGAGTGTGTATTTGTGGATTACGTGTGTGCATGTATGATCTTATTTTGCTACAGGTGGTGGCCAAAATCATTGCATTACATTACTGTGCATTATGATTGAGAATGATTGAGCAAATTGTTCTCTCACTTACTCTTACTTTATTGCTGTTTTATTCATTTTTTTTTTTTTTTTTCATTTCTAATTTGAGTTGATTAAAATGAAAGCGAAAAACGAATAACAAAAAAAAAAGAAAACAAATCTCGCAAATTTACAAATTAGATGTCACTAATACGTTTGATTGAATCAACTCATAGAATAAATGCTTTTGTTTTTATTTTGTTTTTGTTTTTTTATTTATTTATTTTTTCATTTTCATTTTCATTTGTATTATGGTAAAGTAACGAGCAAGAGGTACAAAATAGTAAAAATATCGCATATATATATGTACATATATATATATATATATATATATATATATATTGTGATTGACTATTGTGTTCCAGCTTAGTTGTGCTCCAATGATAGTAACGAATATAACGAATTGAGTTCTTATTACATGCATATATAAGGGAACGAGCGGTTAGATTTTAAATAAAATATATATTTGAAATTTTTCCATTAAAAATTCCATTCCAAATAAATTTGTGTTAAAGTGACAAAGTATTTGAAACGCTAGTGAAAAATAGAATTTTGAAACAAAAAAAAAAAAAAAAAACAACCCAACAAGTGATTAATAATAATAAGATTTCAAGATGTCGGTTCGAATTTTGGAAGATTCACCTAACGCCCATATTAATAAAACAATTTTAGATCGATATTTAAATTTGCCTTTAGATGATGATATTGTTCAGGCCACCTATGTGTGGATTGATGGCACTGGTGAGGATGTTCGTTGCAAAGATCGTACTTTGGATTTTATACCCACAAAGCCAAGCGGTAATGTATTGCATTTTTCCTCCTTAAAAATAATTTTTTTTTTTGTAGCTATAAAATTAAAAAAAAAATTTTTTTCTAACAATGGCCCAAAAACTACATTGAAGATTGAGTTATGTAGTAATGGTTAATATTAATAAACAAATGAACCTTTTATTCAAAGCCATAACGAGAATTTTTTTATTCAAATTTTTCCCACTAAATATTGAAAACTAACAGTTTACGATTTATTGTCTGTAACTTCTAATTTTTACGAAAAGCGTAAATTTTGAAATTTAATTTAAGGAAAAAAAAAAAAATGCAAAGGAAAAAAATTTATGTAACTGACTGATAAACACTTTGAAGAGTGTAAATAAAAATCTCTCTTTTCCTTTCTTCTCTTACCTAAGTGCAGCGTGCAGGGGACAAGAATTGGCCGCTTGCCCATCTTTTTCAAACCTCATGTTCCAATGCATACATATACATATAGAATACATATGCCAGGCAATGCATGTTTAGTTGAATTGTTTACGGAAATTTACTTTAACATAAAATTGTTTTGTGTGTTCTTCTTTTATCAAAGCAAATGTCCTTGTAACAGCTCAGACAAAGACCAAAGAAAAAGTCTATCGCAAGCAATACTTAGTCATAAATGTGAACGAGCTTACATGTCAATAATTATTTATAATATAAATTAAACATTCTAAAAAGGTTTTAGCTTTCAAGTGACCACACTCACACACACACATACGAAAAGACAAAGAGTGTTTCGTTGCACTTGATACTTACTTGATTGCGTCTTGTCTTTAAAGATATTTTTATTCAGCAACCTTTTGCCAAACTTTCGCCTAAGCAGAAATGAAAACTGCATTATTATTATATTATTGGGTATCTCAAGGCAATCTTAATACTCTTACATGCTGTTTACTTAATTTGTTGTTGATTTGTAGGGCAGTGCGGTTAAGTAAAATGTTGTTAAGGCAACAATATATCTTGTACAATGTTTTTTAACTCACTTAAAACTAACATGAGTTAGATTGTAATTGTGTAATTTTTATATCCTACATGTATTATAACTAACAATCACAATCCACTTTGACCTTGATGAGAGAGTATCAGAACTTAGTAAGTTAAACTGCGTTTTTTTTTTTTTGCCCATTACCGAAAGACGAAAAATGGAAAAAAAGCGTCCATGCCTACTCAATTTTATAGTATGTCATAATTTAATTTTTATTCAAAACTTTTATACCGCTCTTAAGCATGTTTGTCCGTTCATCTGTCCATCCGTCCGTCTACGCAGCCGTGTAGTATCTGTGGTAAACATTCGCGCGTTCGCAAAAGTGATGATATCGTCCATAAGCTTGCAAGAGAATTTAAATAGTACCCAAACTTTAAAACAAAACTCCTACAACACGCTCACACAGCCGTGTAACAAAAAGTGCGAACATTTTCGCCTGTTACTTATAAAGTACAATACATACACACTATAAAAATTTTCACTTTTATTCTGAAAATAGAAAAAATCAACCGCGCTCACCCAGTATTGTAGGGTATGAAAATTTAATATTTTTCCATTTTTTTCAGGATCGTGGTGATCTTCGTCTTCTTACTTGTTTACATATTATAATGATTACACCCGTCACCGAAGGATGTGGGATATATTCATTTTGTGAAAACGTTTGTAACGGCCAGCAAGGAGTGCTAGACACCCCATAAAGTATATATACATAAATCGATTTATGCATGTCCGTCTGTCTACCTATGCAATGTTTGTTGTAAACATTCTCCTGGCCGCCAAAATGAAGCTATCGACTTCAAATTTGACAACATTGATATTGCAGGTTCTCGCACGCAGGTTGGCATTGAAAATGAGTCAAATCGATCGAAGGACATGGTTACAGCACTACGTTCAAGAGGAATAAAGAATTGTTTTTCTAATCATTGCTCATAAACCACAGCAGATAAATGCCCAAAAATTTGAGCGTACTTTCTGTGGGTGATGCTCTAGTGGCTGCACAAAAATGGAAAAATTGACCACGCCTATCAAGTATTATAGTGTATCAAAGTTGAATTTTTTTTTTTGAATACATTTACAATGCGCAGAGATAAACTTCAAAAAGCCCATAAAGCATATAAATTATTTGGCCAGTATCGCCTATAAATTGCAAAAGAGTTTGGAAGTGACTTAAACTTTGCCAAAGACACGCCTACAACGCTCACACGCCAACGCGGCAAAAACTTTAATTTTGATAATGTAAAAAATCACCCGCGCCTACTCCATATTACAGAGCATGGACATTTAGTTCGTTTACTTCGTTTGTCCTTTTTAGGATAAGCATGATGGGTCCTAACCGAACATAATTTTCTTACTTGTTTGTTTTCTTTTCCTTTTTCTTTTTAAGCACAAATACCTCAGAGGTAGAAGACCTCTCAACCTATTTATTAAATTTTTACGAGCTCGTGTTATTCAACATATCCTTCAATTTTAAATTAATAATAAAAAAAAAACTCGAATTTTAATCATGCTCGTGGATATTGAAGAAATTGATAGTGATTCTGCGACTTCTATTGAATCGTCTGAACTTATTTCAAAAGCTAGCAGCTCGACAACAGAGTACGCCAAGGTTTCTTCATTTCCTATTGCTCTAATAACTTCCTTAAGGGAAAATGTGACCTTCAAAATGTTTTCTACAAATTTTCTTTTATCATTTTAAATTATGCTAAATATTCTTAGCGATATCCGAAACGTCTTACGCTAGATAGGTCAAATCTCTTACCTGATTGAAAAATTTACTTCTTCAGCGAGGTCACAACTTTGAACTTAAAACATGAGTATCGCATTCTAGTCCTCTTTCAATTTTGAACAAATTTACCTTTCTAGTAGAGGGCGTAGAATCTTTATATCCCAATCCCACATGACCTGTGGTATTGAGTATGGATATTAAGTTCGTGTGTGGATGTATGGGCAATACCCAGAAGGATTTAAGATGGACACAACTTATACGATACTAACCGCCACAGCGTCATCTTCTGAATCGATTTAAATTTATTTGTCGGTCTACTGTCTATCCATATATTTTTATGTATAACATATGAGATATTTTTGAGATATTTTTGGGAAATTTCGCATACTGACGTGCATTGATCCAAGAATGAGTCCTATTGAATATGAAATGTATCGGATAATTTATACGATCGGTTCTCTTGTAATGTCCTTTGTTGAAAAAAGAAATTGTAATTTTCAAAATTTCTCGATAAAAATTACCGAATAATGGCATTTTGGATCCCCTTTCATATAGCGCCTCTTATTCAAAGTGAGGCTCATATATAGCAAAAAGATGCAAATTCGTACATTAGAGTAGTTAAACATCAAACTTTACCGAAGCTTGGATCATGTCGGTCTATTTTTTTTCGTATCCCAAAAAATATATACGAGTTCGCATGAATAGTATGCCTTTATATGGGAACGAGATTGAAATTTTAGTACTTTACAATAAAAATAGGTAAAGTCGAATAGGGTCTTCAAGAACAAAGTTATTTTTGCTTCATTTGGACGACGTCATCTGCAGTTTTTTGAGCTCAGAGGCTTTTACGTTGAAATAGAGTATAATTTTTGATATCAGTGATGACATGTTATTTTAGGCGAAGTGTATAAGGGACATAAAATTACAATCACGAGTGAATTGGTTTTGTTTGAATATTGAGAGTATTTCTCACGTCTTTAATATTCTTAAATGTGAATTTCATTTTTAGAGCTTCCTATTTGGAATTATGATGGCAGCTCCACTTATCAGGCGCATGGTTCTAATTCGGATACCTATTTGCATCCTGTAGCCCTATACAAGGATCCTTTTCGACGTGGCAATCATATATTGGTTATGTGTGATACATATAAATTTGATGGTACACCAACCGATACAAATCATCGTAAAGGATGTTTGGAAGTTGTTAACAAATGCTTAGATGAACAACCGTGGTTTGGCATTGAACAAGAATATACATTCCTAGATTTCGATGCACATCCGTTAGGTTGGCCTAAAAATGGTTTTCCCGGACCACAAGGTCCTTATTACTGTGGTGTTGGCGCTAATAAAGTAAATAAAAAATTCATAAATTATAAAATTGAAATTAATTAAATTCTCTGTTAGGTGTACGCACGAGACGTTGTCGACGCTCATTACAAGGCTTGTTTATATGCTGGCATTAAAATATCTGGCACTAACGCCGAAGTAATGCCAGCTCAATGGGAATTTCAAGTTGGACCTTGCCTAGGTATAAGCATTGGAGATGATTTATGGATGGCCAGATTTCTGCTGCATCGTATTGCTGAGGAGTTTGGTGTAAGTCTTTAATGGAAGAACATGAGAGATGAGAGTATTACTAATAATATTTACCTGACCGCTTACCTATCTATCAAATCAGATTGTTGCAACTTTAGATCCTAAACCAGTACCGGGTGACTGGAATGGAGCTGGAGCTCATACTAATGTATCCACGAAGGCTATGCGTGAAGATGGCGGCATTAAGTAAGATCATTTTATATAATCGTTCAGCAATTAAAATTTTTTGTATTTTCTTTTGTATACACACACAGAGACATTGAAAATGCTGTAGCAAAGCTGGCTAAAGTGCACGAGAGACATATACGTGCGTATGATCCAAAACAAGGACAAGATAATGCACGTCGTTTAACTGGTAAACACGAAACGAGTTCTATTAACGACTTTAGCGCTGGTGTCGCGAATCGCGGCTGTTCCATACGTATACCGCGAGGTGTTAACGATGAAGGCAAAGGCTATTTTGAAGACCGTCGCCCAAGCTCAAATTGCGATCCATACTCTGTAGTGGAAGCCATACTACGTACTATTTGCTTAGATGAGTGATGTAAATGCCCTTCACCGCAAAACGGTAGACATAATTACATGACAAGGAATACTTTTTTGTTGTTGTGATTACAAACGGCGACCAAGCGCGCAATGGAGATTTCATATAAAGTTCAGATAAATTTAAACGCTCAGATTAAACTGAGTTATAGTGAAACCAAAGCGAACAATATATAAAGGAAAATTAGTTAAGATAATAAGCTGGTGAAGCCTTATTAAGTAATAATTTTTATGTGTTAGCATTATGAACAAATTCCTTTATGATTTAAATAAATATCTAAATTAATAAATGTTATTATCTGTGCTCCGATCTACTTTTTTTCACAGTTAATTTTTGTTTAATAAGCGCTTACATATATTTTGATCAGCGACACTAATGCAAAGTAAAGTGGCAGTAAAACAATCAATCGCAGATTTATCGGACGAAACACAGCTGAAGCTCTCAAGTAACCTTCGAACAGCTTAGCAGTTGTTGCATCACCTGTTTTTAGACGTTAACATCCGATGGAAAAGATCCGAAGGAGAGAAAATGGATCGGAATTGATTGAAATTGGCATTTCAAACCGGTTTCGAGCCAGGTTAGCGCCCTCTGATTACCACTTGTTCAGATCGATCCACCATAGCTTGACTGGCATGGGGTTTCGAAAAGCTGAAGAAGTGTGAAAATGGAGCAATGATTGGATTGCTGCCAAATGAATATCGTTCGACAATGTTTGAAAATATTTCAGTTAATATATGTAGTAACAGTTTTTCTTAATAAACATCTTTTTCTCGTTAAAAAAATTATCAAAATACGTGTAAGCGCCTAATAAATAGCGCTTTTCGTTGCATAAGAATAACGCCATCAACTGAAGCCACTTACATCTTAGGTTTCATTATTCTTTCGCCGAATTTATTAACATATTCCAGTGCCTTCCCTTAAAAAATCAAAGGCAAGTGTTGATATCACGTTATAATCAATGCGGTTCAAGAGTAGAATGCGAAACTTCGGGTAAAAAATTATATAAAATGCTGAAGTTAATCTTAATCTAGCGATTAAGATATGTTATGTAAGTAAGAGAAGATCTATAAAAAAGAAAATTAATTAATTAATAATTAATTAGCAGCTAATTTTTCTTTTAAATACATCGCCTATTTACAATGATATGCGTTTTCTTTCTCTTCTTCTTCAAATTATTTATATTGTACTATTTATTTATGTTCGCTTAAATAATTATAGGGTATTTTGAAAGGAGAGTGTGGTATTTAAGACCTTAAAGATGGGAGAATCGTTTCGTAGGATATGAAGAGATAGCGTAGTAATGAGTAGAGAAGTAAAGGGCATATGACTATCGTAAAATTAATTTGTTGCAGGCAAATTCAGAATTAAACCATAGAGATAAGAGTAAGCTCGTATTGGCTTTCAATCTCGGATGCTAATAAGTGACTCGGATGCTGATAAATATCGGACAAGAGCATATGAATTATGATTTTGATTACTTTATCATTGTCGCTAAAATTAACCTTTATCCCAATCTTTAACGCATATGAAAGGATGAAGGGTATCGCCATCCCCACAGATTCACCAGCTGCGTTTTTATTTGGCGTGAAATTCATAAAAAAAAGAGCCTATTAAAGTGTAGGGATAAAAGATTTTCTTTCATAAAATGGAGACTGCAGTTTGTCTTACTGAGATTTCTTATTACATCTATGGCGGAAAAATAATCTGAAACTCTATTACATTTCTATGCTACAGCCCTTGTCGTACAGGGTACATTAAGCTTTTGCAAATTTTAGCAACATTCGTATAGAAGACGAGTTAAGGTTTTCTTATTTATGAAGAATCGTTTACTGATTCGATTTAAGCTTGCTCTCCATCCACACAGACCGTAATAGTAACAGCAAGTGAAAACACTATAGTGGACAAGGGGCAACCATTAAACACCCGACATCAAGCAACAGTTATATATACACAACGAGTTTTCGTAATAAAACGTTCTACGGGGAGTGATCGAAAAAGTGACCCGAATCGAACTATGTTCAATGGCGTTCGATCTTGTACCGAAAAAAATTGTGACCACTCGATTGAATATAAGAAAACAACACGGACTGACAAGGTAAGAGAGTGATTCTGCGTCTGATCTTCGTTTGTTGATGCACAAATTGATGCCGAATCAGTTGATATAATAAAAGATGGGTCTATTCCAAGTCCTTCTTGGCATCGTAAACTATCTGCACAAACTTCATATACACTTGCAACCCAAGTGGTGTCGGGTATAACAATTTAATATAGTGGAATTATTAAAACCTATTGTGTGTATAGAGTGTGCTAAATGTGGGTATATAGCACCTTGTAGAACTTAAGACAAAAGCAATTTTTATTATACCAATCGGATCAGATTAATTTTTGATTAGCTTCAGGTTCATGTGTCCGTCGTAATAATGCTGATATATGTTCAAAATCGTAAATATCAAAATAAAAAAGTAAAAGTTTGAAAATCTACAAATTGGGAAATTTTTAAATATATATATATTTTTTTAATATATACAACTTCTTTTGAAAAAAGGTGTTCTTTATGTACTGTCAGCACAACAAATCACTCAATAAGTCGCGTATCTGACATATACATGACATGATCGTTGGCAGATTTAAATGATTTCTGAATAGTAGCAATCTTCAAACGACATGTGTCAAAACTTGATGACATTCTTACTATCATTTTATAGGTTAGGTTACGTTCTTAGTGACGGTACTTTTGGAATTTTCAAAACAATGGAAAAATCTCAAATTCTTTAATTGATTAAATATTTTTTTTTGTGATGGGAGAAAAATAGGTTTACAATCAGGGGGTGGGGTTAAAGGATATTATTGCGAATCTACTCTAGCGTGAAAATAAATTTGTGGATTGTTTGTCGATTTTAAACGCGGCCATACTAACGTCCTCTCTCGAGTTTGGTGAACAACATTATATAAAGTGCACAAAAACGTTTTGGAAGGCCAGAAAAGTGGAAAAGTGATGTTGCGTGAACTAGCTGATGCCTTACCGATATCGAAACATAGTGACTGTATTTACTATTTTACATCAATATTTGTTCACGAGAAAGCTTTGTTGGAAGTGCCTATCGCATTTGTTCACCTTCAATCAAAAACAGCTGTTTGGAGCAAAGTAGTTTAGGTGAAGTAAGAGGCGTGTTTTCATGCTATATGTGTCAATGGAAGAACCATCGATTTATTGCTACACTTTAGAGACAAATTGTATCTCGGTTGGGGCAAGTGAGCAGCAATCGGTAAAAGGCGTCAATTCCATCAAAAGTTCAAAAGCCGGCTGGGAAAGTTATGGCGTCCGTATTTTGGGATGCGCATGGTATAATATTCATATACTATATTGAAAAGGACAAAGGATCAATAGTGCATATTGCTTAATGTTATTAGTGCGAGTGAACGACGAAACTATGCAAAAACTGTCATCGATCCTATGAACTTGTAGAGTGATGCGTGATGCGTAATGCGTGCGATGTGAAATTGCAAGATTTCATTCACAATTGCAAATTGAAGGAGGAGCGAACTTCTAAAAGATACATGGATGCGTTGCACAAGTATGATCAGGCAATTCTTGCAACTACTTTGATCTTAACTGAAATCAGTAGTGTGGTTGTCAGTACTGTCGATTTATTTGCGTCAACTCTTTCGTCTTTGAAAGAATAACCTTTCATATTCTAACATATTTTTGTGAAGGTCAAATTTTCCTTCGCGCCGGTTGTAATGAAGGGTGCCCAGAAGCCGCGGGCTTACGCTTGCTCAATGGACGATTATAATTTCATTTTATTTTGAGTTGAAACAAGTTTTGAACAAACCGCTCCGATTAATCGGGAGATAGACGTAAAGGTATAAACTATTAATAATACATTAGAAGATGATTATCACTTACGCAGTAATATAACGCAATGAAAACAAGTTTGCGAACAGCGCTTTACGCTTTTCCTGTAAATATTGCACGCTATATACACATGTACGATGATCAGAAGGAATTAAGAGAAAATTCTTTTATAAATGATTTACTTTTAAGTTCTTTATTTAATGATATTTTTGTTGTTTTATTTCTTTGCGGATATAAATATGTTTATTTTTTCTCGTTTCATTCAAATTAAACATTTATTTTTATAAAGTTTAAAAACATTTTGTAGAATAATTTAAGGTTCTATATAAAATAAACGATAGGAGGATAAAAACATCATCAATACACGAGACAGATAAACGTGGCTGGTTCGTTATTGAAAAATTTGAAAAACTGATATAAAAAAAAGTGGTTTATAATAAATGATTGAAGAAAGAACACTTTCTCTCTCTCTCTCTCTCTCTCTCTCTCTCTTAATAAATTAAGTAAATTTCAGATAGAATATAGTAATAATTAATTTTTTTTTCCTGACAATAGGGATTTTATAGATAATATTATGATTAATTATCTACAATTTTCTAAAGACAAGATTTTTCTTTTATTGTTACAATTCTACTTGTAATTTATAAATAGCTTTAATGCTAAAGATTTTAATTGCGAATTGGTTTTTTCCATTTTGAAATTTCTCGAATGATTGAGTTACAGTCATTTTTGTAGTATCTTATGTGTTACTTTTACGTTATTTAATCGTGTAATGGAATTTCAAAAGTACGTTGGACAATCGTGTACCATTTTCTTTGACCCGACCGACTATCTGAAAATTTATGTATATCGGTTAAGTGGATTGACCGTCTTGTTTAGGTCAGGTCTACTCCATGGCTTTTCGCAACTGTTAAGAATTTACGAACATGTACGTATATAAATGGACATCGTAGAGAGCGACATTTGTTAAGTTTACGATTTTCATAGAACTTTGGAATGTTATTAATGAAAGAAATCAAAAAAAAAAAAACTAATGAATATACATGAAATGATGCAAGAACTTGTGGTGTCAAAGTAAAGTATTAAGTTTAGTTTAGTGTTAACTATTCAAGTATTAAGTAATATCTATGATCGGTATAAATTAGTAAATTCTATGAAATGTCTTGTGTAATGTTTGCAATTCTCTTTTAAAAATTCGCAATAAAACAATGTTTCAACGGTATTTGGATTCTACCTACCCCACCGAGGAATTCCTTTTCTCTGTAACGCCTATAATAAACATGTCATATGTCACGAGTGAGGAGATTCAAACCTACCCAACCCATTAAGTTAAGAAAATTGATATAAGAGGGATTGTAGGCAGAAAACTTATTTCAACAAAAATATTCTCAAAGATTATACGGAAAGCGCAGTGTAAAATTAATTCCAATCCAACACTGGATACCCT